TTATAATATACAGTACTGATATTATTATTTTAAAGTCAAGCATGTTAAATTTTAGTTGGATTGAGTTCAATTTCAGTTTACATTTTTTGCTTTTGTACTTCTCAAAAAATGTATGCTTGAAAATGATTATAAAATGTGATTGACCCCTTTTTGTATCAAAGACATTCTCACATGAGTTTCCAAAATAACTGGATGCTGGCTTCAAGGAACTCTTCATAATGGAGACTGTCACTCCAGCCTCACATCAGTGTTGATTGCCTTGAAATTTTTTGTCTGGATTAAAAAATATATATATTGTGTAATAATCTGGCAATCATTTGCCATGCCAATCTTACCACCACTAATCTTTCAACACATCTCATGATGACTTTAACACTCTTCTGGAACCCCTGAACCTAATGCTGTCATCACACTGGGTTGCTTTTATTTTCTCATTTGTAGACCAAGAATAAGTTATGAGAGCTTTTGTTTGAAGAGTTAGTTTGTCAAAATACCTTTCACATCCATGTTCAGTAGTTATGTATAAACTATGTGCTGTACTGCCAAGCAAGTGTATAAAATGTGTAAAAGTCACTTTGCTCTGTTTGCAGTTGAATTTGGATATTGATCACTTTTAATATGACTGTCTTTACTATCTAGAATGTTATGCATTTACATCCATATTCATAATATTTTGAGTAATTGCAAATGGTATTAGATTATATTTCTATTCATTATTTATCAAGTGTCTCAAATACTGTATGCTACTTTCTCTTCAGTTTTCTGTGGTTGCAGTTGAAATTTTGAGATTGATCACGGGTAATCTTTCTGTCATTTAAGAAAATTAAAAATTTACTTCCATATTTGAACTATTTTGAGTAATTTTAAATGGTCTTGGTTGATATTCATGTTCATTATGTATCAAGTGCCTCAAATTTGCAGATTTTTTTTCAGTTTTGTCTGGTTACATTTGAAATTTTGAGATGCATCACCGGCAATCTTACTTTCATTTAAGAAAATTATAAATTTACTTCCATATTTGAGCTATTTTGAGTAATTTTAAATGGTCTTGGTTGATATTCATGTTCATTATGTATCAAGTGCCTCAAATTTGCAGATTTTTTTTTCAGTTTTGTCTGGTTACAGTTGAAATTTTGAGATTCATCACCAGCAATCTTACTTTCATTTAAGAAAATTATAAATTTACTTCCATATTTGAACTATTTTGAGTAATTTTAAATGGTCTTGGTTGATATTCATGTTCATTATGTATCAAGTGCCTCAAACTTTCAGATTTTTTTTTCAGTTTTGTCTGGTTACAGTTGAAATTTTGAGATTCATCACCAGCAATCTTACTTTCATTTAAGAAAATTATAAATTTACTTCCGTATTTGAACTATTTTGAGTAATTTTAAATGGTCTTGATTGATATTCATGTTCATTATGTATCATGTGCCTCAAATTTGCAGATTTTTTTTTCAGTTTTGTCTGGTTACAGTTGAAATTTTGAGATTCATCACCGGCAAACTTACTTTCATTTAAGAAAATTATAAATTTACTTCCATATTTGAACTATTTTGAGTAATTTTAAATGGTCTTGGTTGATATTCATGTTCATTATGTATCAAGTGCCTCAAATTTGCAGATTTTTTCAGTTTTTTCTGGTTACAGTTGAAATTTTGAGATTGGTCAGTGTTAATTTGAGTGCTATATTGAATAATATTATAAATTTGCATCCATTATATTTATACTATTTTGATTGATTTTTAAAAGGTCTTGGTTGATATTCATGTTCATTGTGTATCAAGTGTCTCAAATATGCAGTTTTCTCTTCAGTTTTGTCTGGTTGTAGTTGAATTTTGAGGTGAATCACTATTAGTATGACTTATTAATAGTATTAAATACTAATACAGTATACTTTTTACATCCATATTTATACTGTACTAACTTGAGTAATTTTTAAAATTTCCAAATGATGAAAAGGATTGTTGAATTATCTACAGATTAGTTTACAGACACATGTTGAGATATTTGTCAGCACACAAATTTGTTGCAGTTGAATTTTGAGGTTAATCACTATTAGTATGACTTATTAATAGTATTAAATAATATTATACTTTTACATCCATATTTATACTAAGTTGAGTAATTTTTTAAAATTTCCAAATGATGAAAGGATTTTTGAATCATCTACAGATTAGTTTACAGACACATGTTGAGATATTTGTCAACCTTCAAGTGGAATATTCATCTATTATGTTGAAAAGCAAGACCTTTAAGATGAAGAACATGCTGCTAGTACTTTTGGACATGGTTTATGTGGGCCATCTGATTTCTTCAGGTTGGTACAGGATGTACAAGACATCCATAAATCAATCTGGGTTGACAATTGTTTTGGCCACAGTCTTGAAGTGGAAAAATCCCTGACTCCAGGAAACTTTCTTGAGATTTGCTCTTTCTTGTTTTTTTTTCTCCCTCCCATGTAATGCTTGAGTTATTCTGGGGGGCCAAGAAAAATGAGGTTCTTCATAGTATGGTGTGTGTGTGTGTGTGTTGTGGGATGAACTCGATCATTTCCGGCTGACTGAACCCCTGGGGGTTGCATCCGGTTTTTCGGTTGATGAGGGGGAAGAAGTGCTTCTTCCCTGATTTGATTCCGGACGTCTTCCGCCTGATTGGTCCTTCCACTAATGTTGGGGATGTGGGCTGCAAAGGAAAAAAAAAAAATACTGTATATATATATATGTGACCTCTTCCGAAAGTTTTCTACATTTCTATTTCACTGACATACAAATTACAAAAGAAAAACAGTACTGTACTGTTGGGATTATATTGAGGGGGGTTTTTTTTATAGATCTTTTAGGGAATGAGGGGGGATAATTTTATTCTGGGTATCATCTAGAATGGAGTAATTTTTTTGGAACCCCTCTTACCAAATTTCTCTGATTTTCTATTTCACTTCCATGCAAAAATTATCAAGAAGAAAAACAGAAGTACAGTACTGTTGGATTATATTCAGCTGATATCTTTTTTTTTTACATCTTTGAGAGGGGGGGGGGGGTTACTTTTTGTCCATCTATTTCACTTCCATGCAAAAATTATCAAGAAGAAAAACAGAAGTACAGTACTGTTGGATTATATTCAGCTGATATCTTTTTTTTTTACATCTTTGAGAGGGGGGGGGGGGTTACTTTTTGCCCAGGGAATTTTATTTTGGAACCACTCTTACCAAAGTTTTCTGCATTTATAGTTTATTTAAACACATATAATCTGAAAAAGCAGTGGATTGTATTTAGATGCTCTTTTATAGATTTGTTGGGGGTTTCATTTTTTTGTTTGTCCAGGGAATTTTACATTGGGTATCATGTGGAATGGATTATTTTGTTGGAACCCCTCTTACCAACTTGTTCTGGTCTTGAATTTCATTAGCATACAAATTATCAAGAAAAAACAAGTACAGTACTGTAGGATTAGATTGAGCTCATGTTTTTTTTATATCTGTGGAGGGGGGGGGGGGGGCATTTTTTTGGTCCAAGGAATTTTATTTTGGGGTATCATCTGAAATGGAGTATTTTGTTGGAACCACTCTTGCAAAATTTTTCTTTATTTACTATATTTAATTTAATTATATATTATTGAAGAAAGGAGTGCTTTAGCTGTGATTGAGGTGATTTTTACAGATATGTTGAGGTAGGATTTCATTTTTTTTTTGCTCAGGGAATTTTATTTTGGGTATCATCTGGAATGGAGTGAGTTTTCTGGAAGCACTTATTTCAGTTTAGACTAATGATGAAGAACTTTTTTTAAACCCAATTTTTTATGATGAATGTATGCTTTGATATAAAAAAATTTCATTTGCATGATTTTTTTTATATGTTATGAAGAATTTTGTATGTGCCCAAAATGAGATGCATGAATCATGTTGCATGTTTCCATGGTGGGTATCTGACACTTGATGGATTGCATTCCATGTTGTTTGGGATATTTTTAGAGCAGTAATTTATCCTAGACTGAATAATCTATTTTGCTGCATTTTTTTGTGTTTTTAAGGCATAGTGTTCTTGTGAAAAATTATGTATTTTGGGGCACTCTGATGATTTGATGGATGTTTATCTTGACTGTGCATCTTTTTCTTGAGATATAAGTTTCATTACAAAAAAAGATTATTTGTTAATGTGTGCATGATTGCCACATTTTCTCCTTGTAATTTCAAGGCCATCAGTTGGCTGCTCAGGGATGAGAAGAGAAAAGGCATCTTTCTTAGAACTTGTTTAATGTCCTCTTTTCAATTGTGAAACATGTCCCCTTTTTACTTTTGTAAGAGTCTGTGGAAGTTCTAGCAAAATTTGCACTTTTGAGAAGATCAATTGGAGTAAATTCATGATTAATCTCATTTTGACTGTACTGTACTTCCATTTAGTTTTTGAAAATTTTGGAATCTTGAGACATTTTCCAAATGCTGCATGGGGCATATTTTTTCAAATTTCAACTGTGCATCAATATGAGCTTGCAAAAGTTAGGGCCCTTATATATGTTTATATTTTTGTGTGGTGCTTTTCCTTTTCAATAATGAAACATTCCCCTTTTTACTTTTGAAAGAGCCTGTGGAAGTTCTGGCAAAATTTGCATTTCTGAGAAGATCAGTTTGAGTGAATTCATAGTAAATCTCATTTTGACTTTACCATACTTTCATTGGAATAGAAAAAATTCTTAGAAATGTATGAAAATATTATTTGAAAATTTGCATCTTCAGACAGTGTCCAGATGCTGGGGAAAATTTTATTTTCAGTTTCAGCTCTGCATTATTTTAATCATCATGCACATGTTAGGGCCATTTTGTGTGTTTTTGTATTTATTTTCAGTGGTTTATTGAAGACCCTTGGCTGTGTTGATGCTTGATTGATTCATTTTGATGGGATTCCATTTTCCAGGAAATGTCATTGCTTATTAATTAATTAATTGTATGTATGCTTTCTCTGGTGTTTGCTGACAGGGCAGTGAGGAGACCCAGCAGAGGAAGCATGAAACCAGCAGTGTGGTACACATGCACACTCATGGTGGGCTTCTTGTACATATATGTGACGCTCATCAACTATGTGAGAGGCGCAGAGATATCTGGGCCAGAACCCAGGGTCCTTGTGGGCCCACAGGAGACCAGGAGACAGTTTTCCTCTCCTGGAGACTTCATCAGCTTCCCCAGGTGGGTGTATGATGGGTCTCAGCCAGAATCAACAAAAACCCTGGCCCCTGTCTCATCATCTCTGGATGCTCTTTGAATTAATATTTATATTTATAATAATCATCTTTATATATATATATATATATATATATAAATAAAGATGATCTTTATATATATATATATATATATATATATAAAGATTATTAATTCAAAGAGCATCCAATTAATAATAGCTCTTTGAATTAATATTTATATTTATAATAATCATCTTTATATATATATATATACTATATCCCCAACTGCCTCTTCAACTTTCCTCTGACCTCATTGCATATTTATTAATTTATTTTAGCTTGGGGTGGAAAGAGAAGGAAAATCTGTACATGAACTTTCAAGAATATTGGAATTGGGAATTTCTTTTTTTTTCTTTTTGCCAATGAGAAGCAGTAACCAGTAATGAACTGTGGCATTGAATTTTCTGCTCTGCCTCCATCCAATTCAATTACAAAATTTTCTCAGGGAGTTCAGCATTATAGGAATGAGTGTTTGTGGAGTTCCCTGTTGAATCAAGCAGTGATATTTCTTACCAAATCAGTATTCTTAATAAGATTATACTGTATATTCACACAGGAATGTAAAATATAAATTGTTAGTGCTGTATTAATAAGTTTTAATGTATAATAAGTGCTTCATTTCCTTATATCCTATCATTTTCAATAAAAAGTGAGAATGAGCAAGTTCTGCTTCAAGAGAGTGTTTTTGGGGGTCCCAGCTGTATCACAGACTGAGATTTATTGATATTCAATTTATATTTCCAATATTGAATTTTAAATAGAAGTTTTCATTATTCATAGCATTTCATATTAATAACTAATGTATATTATACAGTATTATCCACATGTATGTATATTACTGTACAGTATATGCAAAGTATTATTTTTCAATTCCTGCATTTTATAACTATTCTCCTGATGTCTGATGGAGTTATGGTGGGTTTTTTTTTCAAGAAATCAAAGGAATGTCTTTGGCTACCTCAAGTATCAGATGGAGTTTCTAAGAATTTTTTTTTATAATTGGACCTTTGCTTGTATAATGAATGACAAATTATTCAATTCAAAGTTCAACTTTTCTACCCTCTGCCCAACATATATAGTGAGAAATACTTGAGAGAGGTCTTTGTTCACCCTGAAGGTTTTGATTATTCCTCTTGTGTCTCTGGAATGAAGGTTTGAAAAATGCTGATTCAATTTAGTAAATTCAGTCTCATTTGTACTGGAACCTCCTTGATGGGTATAAGAAGCATTTTTTTTTTGGAATTATTTCTGGTGTGCAGTGGAAGTTTTCAGACATGTTCAATGTGGATAACTTTCTCATTTAGTTAATTGAAAACTTAATGAAAATTCACAGAAAAAGTTTGGTGGTCCCTGAAATAATCAAGTTTATTGTATACTTGGTTCTCTGTTTCTCATGGTGGCTTTTTGAATTGCTGGATCAATTTATACTTCAGGCCATTGCTTCTTTTAACACTTCTTGCAATATTCTTGAGGTCAAGGAAATTTCCTGGGGATTTTTCTGTAAATCCAGAAGTGTTGCAATTATTTTTCAACTTTAACAATGGAATTGGACTGGTTCCAAAATTTCATTCATATCCAGTCTTTTTTAAATCTATTTAATTGTCAAAAAAATTGAGAGTGCTTTCCTAGCAACTAAAACTTTTGATAATTTCAAGCTTAATCCACAATGAATTGAGAAATGTAAGATTATTCATGACTGCTATGAAAATACAAAGACAGCAGCAATCAAGTTGTTTGTTTCTTGGTTGGAAAGGATACATGTTCAATGGGTCTTGGTGTGTTCTGCATCCCCTTATGAACACATGATTGGGAAGCCTAATGTCAAGTATGTGGCCAACATGCATGGGAATGAGGCTGTTGGCAGGGAAGTGATGCTTCACTTCATCCAGGTCAGTTTTCCATCCCTCTTGACACTTCAAAAATCTAAAAGAGTGCATTGCTATTTTGTATGTTGTCAAAGGAAACATTTTCATTTGTTTCAAGAACTTCTCTTTTTCCAAATTACTCTCTGCCTTGAGGAAATGTACAAGGTTTTCTCCTGCAGCTGTTTCCTTTGTTTTGAATTCTCTCTTCTCATGTCACCCCATGTTAACAGCGTGATGCATATCGCTTTGTAAAGTACAGATAAATTATCTCTCATGCTTTTGTGCCAGACAACTAAAACAATGATATTGGAGCAAATATATAATGATGTATATTATATATACAATATGGTGTATAATCTCATTGCATATATTTAATGAATCTTCTCCATGAGACCTGGATACTTACAAATACATAAGATACATGGAAGGAACCTTGGGTGACCAAGACTTTGGCAAAGGTATATGTGTCACCTGTGGAACTGTATATCCCTCAGAATTGATTCTGTGTTGATTGCAGTTACTTCTCAATAAGCATTGTGAGCAATAGCAAGACTTTCTTAAATTGGTCTAGCGTATTATTTTTGTTGGACTAAGATTTGACTGCAAATGCATTTGGTATATTATTTTTTGAAGCGTATTTTAAATTAGTTAGTATTGACAACATGTAATTCCAATGAAGTTATTTCAAATGTCCCCCTCACTTGATAATGATACTTTGGATTCAATTGGATGCTCATGACCAACTGTACTTGACAAGAACCAGTAATCTAAATCTGATTTCCAGACAAATGAAACTTGGAAAGTGTTGATGCTACAGCATTTATGACACTCAGAGAAAACTGTGGAGTATAATATTGTACCTTAAGTAACTGTTGTACTTCAAAGTGTACTGGTTAGTTGACAATATGCAACAAGACTTTAAAATCAATTGGTTGATGATTAAGAAATTACTTGTCATGAAACAGTAAAATAACTTACTGCACTTCCAGAAAAAAAGTTCCTACCTTTTTTGTGAGTTTGTTGTAAAGGTATATGCATGGAGTTGGTTTAAACCTTATTTGATACATCTTCTGAAAGAATTTTAGTCCCTGACATGGCAGATGACTTAGAAATATAGTTGGCATGAAGCAGTAATATAAATTTTTTCATCTCCAGGCAATCTCCTCTCTTTTTAGTGAGTTTTTTGTAAAATTTTTATTTGTGGAGTTGGTTGAAATGTCATTTTATGAACCTACTGGAAGAACAAAGAATGTTTGTCTTTAGAGATTACATGCACATTCTGGATGAACTATCAGTGCTTCAGTATATGACTTCTGACCAATGATGCAGGCATTGCTGGTTTCACAAAAAGTGTGCTGACCATGACAGGGGGCATGATGGAGTATGTGATCATGTGTTTAGCTTCTTATGCTTTTTTTTACCATATGGGGCCAAGAATACATCCTTTTTTCCCCCCACTTCCTCCCAAGAATTATCTGCTGCTTGCAGGGCCTAGATTCCCTCTGCTCAAGTAAATAGAAAAAAAGGAAATGTGGAATCTTGGGTGTACAAAAATATATATATATATACATGTAGAAGAAGGATGAGGAGGAAAAAGTTTTTTCTGGCTTCCTCTAGTCTATAGGACTTGTGATTGCCTTCCCTACTTGGATTACTGTCCCCACTGGGCTGGAATTTATCTTTTGTGTCCTACAAACCTTTTTTTTTTCTGAAGGGAATATGCAAGAATTTGTTCCATTTGATTGATCTCCTGTCCTTGTTTCCAGTACTTGGTGCTGAACTACAAGAGAGATGATTATGTGACATGGCTGATGGACAACACAAGGATACACATCATGCCATCCATGAACCCTGATGGGTTTGAAGCATCTGATGAAGGCAGGTGTCAAGGTGGCAAGGGAAGGTGAGAAAAAATGATTTTGGTGACTCTTATTTTTCAATGCAAGAAAAATGAGTATTGAACTTATGTGGGAGTGACATCTACTCAAACAGGAATCATTACATAGATGGAGACCCACTTATTTGACTCTGCTGATATTAGATGACATCTGATTAAGGAAAGTGAGAAAAATGATGTTGGCAAGTCTTATTTTTCAATGCCAGAAATTTATCATGTTGAGTTCATGTGGGAGTGACATCTACTCACACAGGACACAGTATTTTTAAAAAGATACCCATTTATTTGACTGTGTTGATATTATTTGACATTTAATGGAGGAAGGTGAGAAAGATGGCTTGCAAACTTTATTTTTCTGTACTGAAAAATTATAGTGTGTTGAGTTTTTGTGGGAGTGACATCTACTCACACAGGAAACATTATTTTTAAAAAGAGACCCATTTATTTGACTGTGTTGATGTCATTTTGCATTTAATGGAGGAAGGTGAGAAAAGGGATTTTGTCAAGCTTTATTTTTCAATGCCAAAAAATTATGTGGGAGTGACATCTACTCACACTGGAAACATTATTTTTTGAAAGGAGCTCAATGAATTTGTCTGTAAGTATTCAATGATATTTTATTATTGTTTCTTTAAATTTCCCCATCAGGTACAATTCTGAAGGTTTTGACCTAAACAGAAACTTCCCAGACTTTTTCAAGTCCAATACCCAGAGGGCACAACCAGAGACTGAAGCTGTCAAGAAGTGGATCTCCAGGATTCAGTTTGTTTTGTCTGCCAATTTCCATGGTGGTGCCCTGGTGGCCTCTTATCCTTATGATAATTCCCCCAACTCCAGTGAGTATATTGTACTATGATGCCTACATTTTATTATGTGTTTTTTTCTTTGTGGCATTGATGGGAGGAATCTTGTTCTCCTGTTTAACCTTCTTGCTGCTTTTGTGGTGGTGCAGTTTACTGCAGGACTCAAATGGGATGCAAAAGTAATTGGTATTTTTACTAACAGCCTGCTTTTTGTAGATTTGACAATAGAAAAGTTGTCCTGTTTTTGGGTTTTGCTGCTTGCTTTGGGGATTTTTTAACTGTGAAGATTTTTTTACCATTGTTAACAGTACAGTAATGAGGTGTAATTTTTTTGTATGTTGTTGATATTTTTATTTAATTTCATGGAACCTGTGTATGGAAACTATTCTTTAGACCCAAAAGTTTTAGGAAACTTCAGAAATGTGAATTTAAGATTTGAGATTTTCTTCTTCTTCCCTTATACCTTATGTTACATGATGGATATTCTTTTGACAGAGTCAGATTTTTGGCATTTTCCTGCTGCTTGAATTTTTACTCACCAAGGCTTACATTCTGCATGTGTAATAAATTTTTAAGTGTGGTTATGGATTTCAACTTCAAGTTTAGTACATTAATCCATTCTTGTTGGTGACATGGTCCCAGAGATGAGCTCATTTTAGTGTGTAAAATATTCCTGATCCTGAAAAAAAAATGATCAATTTTGTTGCATTTGAAATTTGTCCAAAAATATAACTTTAGGAGAAATGTGATTAAAGTAAACTTGCAATAAGTGAAGTGAGACTTTTTAATGTTGAACACATTTTTTTAAATATTCGAAATTCATGTTTTTCAGTTTTTATTAATCCATCTGTAGTTTATTTCACTCATGGTCTCCTTTGTGGACTTTTCTTGGTGTTTTTGGAGCGAATGATTTCATTCTCCCATGATGATTTAAAATTACTGTTGCATGTTTGTGGTGTCAAAATTTTCAGACTCTGCTAATTTGGGATTTCTGTGGTATGTTGGTGGCGCCTGTGTATGTGTTTGTTGTTGAAAACCTCGGCTTGGCAGACGAGCTTCGGCTTCTTATAAAGTTGCGGCCATTCCATGAACACAAATCCAACATACACGAACACATACATACATACATACAAACACACATAGTGTACTAATATTCAGTTTGCACAATATTCGATTTTTGCTTTGGTGCTACGCGTATATATGATGTGCACGTCGTCCGAAAGCACGGAAAAATCGTAGCTTAGTACAGTGCGTGCTTCGAAAGCATTACCGTATTGATTCGGGGCCGGGGGTTATTGTAACATTTCAATAGTTTTGCAATCACTGTCGCGGCCGACGTCCCCGACGCCGGATGATGACGTGTTCCGCCACCTGGCGTCGGTGTACGCCACGCGCCACCTGACGATGCACCGCGGCCAGGCCTGCGACGCCCAAACGCCGCCATTTCCCGGCGGTGTCACCAACGGCGCCCGTTGGTATCCTCTAACAGGTTCGTAAGTTCCACAAGCATCACTCGTCGTAATCGTTCGTCTACACCACCCCGCGAACGTCTGAATGACTGACGTCACTGCCCTATGTATTGAAGCATCGTGAGGGGGGGAAAGAAGGATTTGTGTACAGCTCACGTCCCCTAACGGCGCGCGTTGGAGGCTCACTCTGCGTGAATGTCCGCTCGCCGTGAATAGGTGTCGCCGCTGCTCGTCTGCCGAAGCCGCAACACATCGATCGTAGTTCGGGTGCGGGTTTTGTTATTGCTCTTCTTCATATAAGAGTTCCTGCACTGGGTTTAGCTATAGTAATTACGGAAGTGATGAGGATAATTACTGGGCGTGTGTAACGTGTATGGCATAAAAATGACACAGAGGCTGACGTGCCGGCGAGCAGCGACGACGACGACGTGTTTCGACTATTGGCGCGGACGTATGCGGACACGCACCCGCGCATGAACAGGGATGTCGAATGTCCAGGGTTTTACGGAGCCAAAGTAACGAGTTTCGACAAGGGTCGAGCAGCGACGACGACGACGTGTTTCGACTATTGGCGCGGACGTATGCGGACACGCACCCGCGCATGAACAGGGATGTCGAATGTCCAGGGTTTTACGGAGCCAAAGTAACGAGTTTCGACAAGGGCATCACAAACGGCGCCGCCTGGTATTCTGTTCAAGGTCGTTAATGCAGTGGATTGTGTTTCATCATTTGACTACGATCTATGATTCGTTTTTCTTAATTTTGTTTAAAAAGGAGGGAAAAATAAAGATTTAAATAATAAAAATAATAGAAATGCAAAAACTTATATTAGAAAGATATATTAGCAAGTAGAAAATTTTTTCATGTTAGGTTTTAAGAGAGGAACACTCAGATAAGGTAACCTCAGATTTAAGTTTTGTGTAAGAATTAAGTAAAGGTTCAAGAACAAAATAGCAGAACTCAGATGGAATTTTAGTGTCTTTAGAATGGTTTTCTTTTTTATTCATGTAATTCATTATATTTTTATGCTCCTTTGAAATCTGTCCCTCAAGAAGTTTGTTAATTGAAATTCAGGTTTTTTTTATTTTAATTCCAAGCTTTTGAAAAATTTAATCTTATTATCTTTCTACTGCCTTATGTGAAATATTTGTCAATTTCAAATTCTATGAGAAAGTTGGTAGTTTATAACATCAATTTTAATTCAAAATTGAGTGGGTCTGAAGAAAGATTAATTCTGGATGAATTTGGAGATAATTATTAAGCTTTGTGTAGACATTTGAAATTATACTATTCCAATATACAGTACTTAGCTTCTGATGTTTTTTAACTGCCATATTTTAGCATGAAATTTCCATGGTCAACCTTGAGTATAAAGTTTGCTTAGCAGAACATACCCCAATTAATTGTTCTCCCTGGTTTATAATAGTTGAGAGGTTCCAATTATAAAATACTGATGAAATGATGCCCTTTCTGTCCTTGACCATTTGCAGGGGGGGGGGTGTAATTTCCATCAGCCCAAGGTACTTTAGGGGGAAATCCTGGGGCATTTAATTTCAAGCCTCCCTGCATTTTCAATCTCATGGTTTCAGTTATGTTCCCCCAACAGTTTCTTCCAAGGGTAATTGAACTGCAAGTGGGCCATTTTTTTGTTGTTGTAGAACAGTATCTTATGACCTGCTCCAGAAGCATTTTGGGGGAGATTGTTTCACTGAGAACTTGTTTTTTGCATTAGTATTTTCAGAATATTCATGGATATATTTTGGTATGACCACCATATTGCTTGCAAGACCAACTGCTGAAAAAGAGTTTGCCTTTTGTTTAATTTCTTATTTAGACTTACTTTAAACATTTTTGGTGGTTTATTGAAAAATAAAGACAATAAAAATAAAAATTAAATGTGCCTCTTTTTTTTGAAAGGGAGGATGTGCAGTATATATTCTTATCTGATGTAAAACCAGAAGTTATCATGAATTAATCCAAATTGTTAGATTTGTGTTCTTTTGTTGTTGTAAATCATCATATACAGTATTTTTGTAAACAGTATTTCTTCATCATTGATTTTCTTCAATTCACAGGACATATAAGTACTGTACTGTACCTAACCTCCTATTCTCAAGTTTCATTTCCTTTTAGGAATATGTTGTCAACAATCATGTTTCTGATGCTTAGTCTTTTTTCCTGGGTTGAAGAGAGAGCAAATTAATTTTCTACTGATTTTTTGTAAAGGTGTTCTGAATGATAATTTTTGTCCTCACTGTTTAAAAAAAAAGGTCACAAATAAATTTCATTGGTAAAATTTGCTCATTTAAAAATATTTTAAATGATTCTTTCTTATAGACCACCTTTAGCAGATTGATTTTACTCCTATTTTGGGAAAATATACTGCAATGTTTAAGTCATCAACTGGGCATTGGATTTTTGTTTGGTAATTTATGTATGTGTTCCAAAACTCATTTTAAGTGTTCTGACTTCACGTAACCGTCCACCCTACGTTCTAATATTGATGTAAACCGTACCTACGTACCTTCACTGTTAACTTTACAGGACGACGTTCATGGGTTTCCGTAGTCTCAACGGTCTGAAGACCCTTCTTTTGTCTGAGGTATGTTTTTGGTTTTCTTAAAATGTTGGCCCAATTATAGATGACTGTGAAATTATTTATGTTCTTTGTTGGAGAATATTAACACTACTGTGTATCAATCTTGGGATTTGAATTGTATAATGAATGTATAAATAAAAAAACCTATTCATCCAGATCTTCTTTGGGAGTATCAACTTCTTTTGGGCCTGGAGTGTTTGGGATGTGTAAAAAAATGAATGTATCCTTTTCATACCCATGAATTACACTTTCCATTTTAAAAAATTAATAGCAGTTTAAGTGCATAATATTATGCTATTGGGTTTCTTTTATGGCCTATGTTCTTGTGAATACTGTAGTTCACATATTCCATCAATATTCTTTTCCTAATCATGCTTGGACCATGAATGCATCTGTATTTTATTTATCAATTTTTTCTTGATTTACACAGGCCCTGCTGGCCTACCTGGGCCAGGCACACCGTGGAGTCCAAGGTTTTGTGATGGATGAGGGTGGTGAGCCAATTGCTGGTGCAAAAATGAAGGTTCTTGGCAGAGAAATTGGCTACATCACCACCAACTTTGGGGAGTTTTGGAGGATCCTGCTTCCTGGATCCTACACTCTTGAGGTGACTCATCCTGACTTGTTGTGGAAAACTCTCATGTGTGGCTAAATATTCAGTTGGAGAAGGCTCATTTGTTTCTTTTATCAAAATCCTGCTGAGGGATGTCATTTGTGCACAAAGCTGTGGTTGACGTAATAGAACCCTTACCTCACGTAACCTCACTGTAGACCAAAAACTACTTGTAAGTTGTCTGAAGTTCGAAGTGGATAAAAAAAAATTATAAGTCAGTTTTTATAATTTTTAGACGAAACGTCAAAGAAATATCTTTTTTTTGGAAGAGATGTGGCTTCTTTAAAATAAAAAGTTGACATATGTTTTAGTGTGAGTATAGCCAGATGTCACTGCTTTGTTGGAGATCTCAAAGTTTCAAAGGCCCAGCAAAATAATCATTGACTCTTGCTATGTGCTCATGTACAACAGTCAAACATGCATTACAAATTTCAAGGTACAGAAAACTCAGTGAGTTAGGAAACAAGCATTTTTATCTATTTTTTTTTTAAATATTTTGAGCCTTGGATGACAAATTGATTATGCTGACAGGATGCTGAAGTTGGAGGCAAGGGTTCATTTGCACTTTCAGTCTTTCATTTCCTTTCAAAACACATAAAATTACATGTTTATTTCAATTCTCTTATTTGTGGTAATAAAATGATAAATAAAAGGCCTTCATCAGTACATTTAAATTGTGAAGTTAAAAGGAAAGCCTTTGATTTGGGAAGGTTTTTAATTCATTTCTTCCAATAGAATTCAGAAAGGGGCTTCAAAGAAATTCTACACAGGCAGGTATTTGACCTGAGGATTATTTTTTAATGGTAAACTCCTTTTCAATTGAAGATGAACATTTTTTTTTTGAGTAAATGGCTGGGAGTGACACCTGGTTGTGTTCAAACCTATGGTAAATTACTGTATGTCTTTCTTTTTATTTTATTATTTTACAGGTGTACAAGGACGGGTTTATCCCAGTGGAGAGGCAGTTCCAAGTGGTGGAGCAACACCCGACCCTCATCAACATCACCATGGTGCGGACAACGGTAAGAAGTTTCGCCGGGCCCTTGTACACCGGCAGCACCATGTTGGGCACAGTAGATGTAGCAGTAGCCCTAGTGACTACCCCGGAACCACAGGCGACCCCTGGCAGTGGTCTTGGTGGTGGTGGTCAAGTTGGTGTTGGCAGCCCTCCTATTGTATTCCCGCGAGACGAACGACTCGAGGAGCGTTTCCAGCGCCGACTCGTAGTGGCCAACAGTGGCAACTTCCCCAGAGGGTTTCTCGGGTGATCCACCAGGTGACGCTCCTTGGTTGTGTGCTCTACATAAAACTTTCCTACAGTATATACACATCTGCACTCTTCTTTCTTTCTTTCTATGTTCACACCGTGTACATATGCATGCATACGGCGGTGCCTTATTGTATAATGAAGGCTTTTTTTTTCTTGAAATGGGTTAAAGAAATCAAAATCCTTTGAACCCATGTAAGACATGCATGGTGCATGAATTTTAGAAATGGAAAATATCTTGTGTCATAAATGGCTTTTTTTTCAGCATGACCTTGTGTTTATTAGCATAGTGTGTATTTGCATTGGGCTAATCTTGTAGGGGCATTTTTTCCCATCAAAATGGTCAGGTATACAGTTTTTAATCTTCCATGAAATTTCAGCAGGTATTTGACCTGATGATGTTTGAGTTATTTTTCTATGTTCAACTCTTTAATTGATGATGATGATGATGATGATGATTAATAGTTTTTGTGAATAAATGGCTGGGAGTGACACCTGGTTGTGTTCAAACCTATGATATATATATATACATACAATATATATATATATATATATTTATAACATAAGTTTGGTAATTTCAGAATTGTTGATGCAATTTCAAACTAGAAGTCCAAACTTTCCTGAAATTGTCCCTCATTTGAGAACTTCTTGTGTTCATAAAAATTGGATTAATAGTAAAATGCATATTAGGAGAATATTTATTTCAAAATGTATATTTATGGTTGGCAAAACATGAACACATTTCAAACTTCAGTTTGACTTTGATCGAAATTTTTATCATTTTATTTTTGAATTAATCAATAACATCAGTGTAATTTTGCTGTTGGCATTTGATTTGCAATGTATAAATGTCCCAATTGATCTGATTCACTGGAATGGTTTTTTGGGTTCTGATGGTCAAGGACTGATAATAGTTTTGAACTCTTTTCTCCTGTCTTTTTTTTATATTGTGGTTCTCTCAACTATGGTGGTTGGTGTGTGGCAGTTATCCTTTGTGTCCAAGGACCTGCAGCCCAGTGTTGGGGCCAAGACCCCTAGGATAGTGACAACACCCAGGCCTGAAAGCAGGAGAATATCCTTCAACAATGTGGTGGCTGATCAAGTCAAGCTCCCTGATGTGCACAACTTGGGGATCCAAGTGCATGGCTCTGTGTTCCTCTCCTCTTTCCTCTGTGGTGCTGGTGGTGCTTTATTATCTCTGGCTGTGAAGACCTTCACCTCTTGATTCTCACCACTTTGTTCTTGCCATTCCAAGTCATTTTTTTTTAGTTATTCTTGTTTAAGAATCCCTGGAGGATTTAGTTGTGCCCCACAATGGCTGCCACCAGTGTACAATGTTATATTTGTTTCCAACCATGATTATCATCTGAAGAAAGTTTCATATTATGTTTGACACAGGGTGGCATTGAATCCAAGAAACAGTGGTTTTGGCCAGATGGCACATCACACTACTTGTCATGACACTCCCAAAGAGAAAAAGAAAAAAAAAATTGTGGCTCCACCATGTTGAATTTTTTTTTTTACCTTGTGTGGAGGGAACAAGTGTCCTGTGATCCCTGAATCCTGAGTGACTGGTTCTTTGACACATGCCTTCTCGATCTCGCCTATTGTAGTTGGTGGAGGGTTTTTATTTTGTTGTTAGTGTAGGTGTCACTCCTATAGGATGACAAGAGGCCTCTTATATAATCTTGACATGCTTAATTTTCAAGAGTTTGCAACTGTCAAGATCTGGTTCAGGGGTTTTTCCATAGCAGGGAGGAATGCATATATTTTTCAGGTTGTGTGACTGTGTTTGACTGTAGGGTTGTCTCAGAAAAAAAAAGAAATAGCTTTGTGAGCAAAAGTATATCCATGATCAAGGTTTGAGCATTGCTTTCATTCTCAAGTTTCATTCCCAAAAATTGCATTCTTGATGCTTTTTCAATTTTTATGAGTCCTGAACTAATATTGGGATTCAAGAGATTTCAACTGAATGTACAGAATTATCCAGTGAAAATATTTCCAGTTGATTAGACACATCTTTTTTCTTGATTTTATTTGACTGAAGTAGCTTGTTTTGTGCTAGTCTTTAGGCATGGTTCTGATTCAATATAATTTAATGCCCATGGAAGCAGGGCCATGATTACAGGATTATCATAAATATAATTTTGCTGGACAACCCTGTTATGTGTGTTAGCTTATGGATGGTTATTCTACATAATATCATTGATTATTTAGTTATTGATTATTATTTGACTCTTAAGGCATGGTTTCAATCAGATACAATTTCTTGCCCCTTTAGAAGTATTTGCTTTTTTTTCTGCACAACTCTGTCATGTGAGTGTATGATAATCTCTGAATCAAAGACTAAGATTATTGCTTAGTACGTTTTTAATGTGATTCATGTTATGGATAATTTATTTCCCCTGAAATTTTTTTTTTTTTTGCCTGGACACTCAAAATACCTTATTCAAAGACTAAAACCCAGACTTTCTTCTTAAATTTTTGTGTGGCATAGTTCCAATAATTACAGTATAAGGATAATTTCTTACCCCTGAAAATATTATTATATTTCATTGTTTTTGCACCAGTTGGGACAGACAGTACACACATACCATTTAAAGTAAAACACTCCCGTCTCTCTCTCTCTACCGTTGTGACTGAACCTGAAAAAACAAAAGCAAAGACAAAGAGAACAGAAAAAGGGAGGAGGTCCTCCCGTTTCTCTCATCCCCCCCTTCTGTGACTCGTGACTTGTCCGTCGGACGTGTCTGTCTGGGGGGGGACCATATAGCGACGGTTCCAGGAGCTGTCCATCCGGCCACCATTGCGCCACTCGAACGGAAACGGGGTCCAGGGCTTTTTTGACAACGTGTCAAACAGGGTCACGCAGGGCATGCAGAGCTTTGTCAACATCTTTGGCCGGTGACGACCTTTCTTTTTTGTTGTTGTTTTTTTGGACGACCTGTTTATCAGGATGAAGATTTATATTTCTTGACTCGCTGGAAGATGAGTTTTCGACCCCCGACACAAACATACGCATCACACCAAAATATAAAATGACTGGAGTCTCATTTAAAATTTGTTTCTTGTTTTTTTTTTATGACTGGTGTACACCCAACAACCCCCATTCGCTGTGGCTTTATGTAGGTTGTGTGTATGTGAGCGGTGTACAAATAAAAAAAGACTTCTTTTTTTGTTGAGCATGTTGCTTGTTATTTAAATTACTGTATGTGAGTGGGACATATTTTTATGATAATGAGCATCTTGATTTATCAAGGTTTCTTTTGAAATTTTCAATCCCCTTTTTCAAAATTGAATGCTATTTATTTTAAGCAAAAGGTCTTGGAATAGCTGGTCTAATAAAAAAATGTGCTTGACAGAATGAAGTTTCCAAGCAGAATATAAAAAAAATTACAGCAGAAATACCTCTGGTTTGTTTCCATGCACTACTTAAATGAATCTGGATTTGAAGAATAAACAAAGCAAGAAACAGAATAAAAGGCAACTGACCTTGATCTGACTTGAACCTAATGACATACATTTTAATGCAATCATGTCATAAAAAATCCGTATTCATTTATCTGCTAAAAAAAAGAGCATACATTGTATGATGCTGAAGAGTAGAAAATCCCTCTGAATATATCAGCCAAAAATGCATTATTCCAAAATTAACTTTCAAAAAAGAAATAAATAAAAAAGTTTCAACTGACCAGAAAATTCAATAAAAGTTTAGTTCAAAACATCCCTTCCCATTTGACACACAAACAAGGTTTGGGAGGTACACTTGGGGACAGATTTGATGCCCTGGAACCTCCCAAGTGAGACAAATAAGTCCTGCTCTCTGTTGACAAAAACCTCCCCTTCCCCCCCTGACTGCTCCTTCAAATACTCTCCAAGCAAGGGCTGAAATTGGTTTCCAGGATCCTGCCCCTCCTCTCATGGAAGAGCTCCACTCAAGCAGTCAGTCAAATGGCGCATAATTGGAACCTGTCCCACTTGGGCAATAAGTGCACTTCCATCAGAACCTGCACCTTCCCTTGGCACTTGGCAACAACAACAAGCTCATCTGTGATGGATTGGCTCTTCCTCCCTCCCACACACACACACACACGCACATAGGGTTCCCAAAAGCATTGAAGAAGTGCCAGCGGAAGTGCGTCTCCCAGAGATAGAGAGCCACACACGCACACACAAAAAAATAGTCCTGGTTTAAATTGGGGGGCGGCCGGGGGCGTGGGATCCCGGATGTCAAGTGGTGGAAACCCGAGAGCCAGGGCCGGGGGAGAGAGAGAATATCGCCGGTAGAACCCCCACTGTAATCCTCTCCACAGCGTTGCCAGGCCGCATCGTCCGGTACGCTCTCACTTGGTCCGGTACAGCACACTAGCGTGCCGTGCGTTACTTGCACACACTGCTCGCGCGCAGGCGCAGAGTTTCCACTCGGGGATGGTCCCTCCTAAGTCTTGCATTGGGGGATAACGCTGAGTTGGGAACACTGGCTCGCGCAGGCGCGCGTTTGAGGCAGTCGATCCTGAGCCAGCCGGCAAACCGAGCTCAGTTCTCTGCTGACTGTTGGAGATCGTGGACGTACTCGTCGTCGAAATTTCGCGAAAGCCTCTCTGTGAATCATGGTTCCTGTCTTTCGCGGCCGCATGCCCCCAGATCCCCCTCTTCGCTGCGTTTCTCGCAGTATCAGGTTTACGTTTACCCACCTGCTTTTCGTAACTGTGCGAAGAAAATCCCTGCCTTTTGTCTGCTGCACCACGGAGGGGGGGTTTTGTTTACGCCATCATAGAACAGCGAACAACAGCTGTTCGCACCTGTTGGCTACTGCTGGTGTTGATAAAAACTCGTTCGCCGGGGTTCAAGATAATGTGAGTTGTTTGTTATCTTTCGTCCGAAGGTCGGTTTGAAAGCGTTTCGAAGGGTGAGACGAGGTGAAGCATTTTTCGTGATGGGGGATTTTTGGTGAAAACGGATTCAGTTGAAATTTGGCTCGTGTGTGCCGATCTCTCTTTCTTCCTTGCCTTAAAGGAACGAAAGCAGCTACCTTAACTGCTACTTCAGCAGTAACACCAAAAACCGCTCGCAAATAGACAATAACCGACCAAAGGACCTACCTCGACACTAGTTGCTGCGGGGTGAGTTTCATTTCTGAAAAACAAGGAGTGGTTGAATCTGCTCATTTCATACGTTCTGCGCGAATCCGGTGCCATTCTCAAGTTGGCGTCCATTTGAATGGCGCGGTATTTTCAAGTTGTCGGATGCCGTGTCTTTGATGTAAAGTTTTTTTTTAAAGATTCGAACAAAGATTCACCTTTTTATCAGAATTTTTCTCTTAATACTTGGAACACGAGATTGTTGCGCATTACAGGCATGTGTCTGTTCATATTCTTGAAAATTCTTATCTGCTTTTTAAAATGTGTATCTTTCTTGTAGATATTAACGATTTGTCAATGATGTTCATGAAAAATACTTACAGAAAACTGTAGGAATACTGCGAAGTCTTTTTTATAACTTACGCTGCAAATTGTAAGTACTGTATTGAACATTTGTCAAAAAAGTCAGAAAGCTGACGTTTGATCGAAGTGTTACTGTACTATACAGTATCTTCTAACTTTTGAAAAGTGCAAGTTTTTCTGAGCTATAGGTTTTTCACCTGCGTGTATGAGTATTGGGAACTACTGTATTCTCAAAGTCAAAATGTGAGTTACGAATCTTACTGGCTTCTCAAACGCGAGTTTTGTGTTGAAGTACCATTCTGAATACAGATTTTTTCAAGTGAAAGTGAAGAAGTCGCCCTGAAATGTTTTGATTAAATGACTCATTTTGAAACCGGAATATTGCTCAAAAGAAAGAGAGAATAATGCTACGAAGTCGAGTTTTGATTCGGAATTGTCGCCTCGAGAGAATAATTCGTAATAAACTTTCAATTTGTCGATTTCCTACGGAATTCAGTGTTTTAAGACTCGATATTACGAATTGTTCGTTGTGACGGGCTTTCATCTTTCTTCATCACAAGCACCATCGTTTTCTCACAATTTTAATTTGAACGAATATACGTACTTCACTGTAGAATTTCGTCTTGAAAATGATTGTAACGAAGTTTTCCAAGTTCCTGCCGTTTATGTGAAGTTTTACCTAAAAGACTCCGCATAAGAAAAGTTTCCATATAACGATTTTATATTGTACTTGGTAAGGCAAAGTTTGTTCCTTTTTTCTCTTTAACGCAGAAAAAATTTGAATCCTGACTGGTGAGAAAATGTGAATTTGAAGAAACGAAGTCTGGTGGAATTTCGTCTTGAAAAATAAATTATGACAAATTCGTCTTTCGAGTTCCGTGTTTCTTTTTCAGGACTCAAAATAATAAATTTTCTAAAGGCTAACAAGGTGCTTGGTTTGGCAAAATTTGCTTTCTAACTATCATTTTTCTAACGCAGAAAAAGAAGGAAGTTGATGCTGATATGGGATTNGAGGGTTTTTTTACATTTGATGTATTGGTTGGAACAAAAGACGGTTGTTGCAACCGTTTGATTTCATGGTCTTGTATGTGGCAAAGAGGGAGGGAGAGATTTCCCAACCTTTTTTCTATGGAGAATTTCTTCAAGAAAATCCTGCTTTATATTTTTATTTTTCATTTGATGCAAGTGTTCTTTTTGGGGGAGAGTTTTACTCAAATTCAAGTCCAATGGAATTCCTTTTTTTTTTTAAAGTAAATTAATCATTTCATATTGAGTTTTGAGCTCGGGATTTTCCTCCAGGGATTTGGTAGATATCACCTGTAATAGAGACAAAAATGCCCCAGAAGTTTAAATCACAGCTTTTTTTTTGTAAGATTGAGAATGAGATTTTTGTTGTTTTGCCTTCACTGAATGTACACAAATGGAAATAAAATTCAATATTTTCAATATATCCTGCTAAAAAGTTTAGTCAGCTGTAAAATGATATATTGTCATTTAGATAAGTGTCCATGAATTATCTCAGTGAAAAAAGGCTGTGGATTAAATTAAATTTTTCAAGCAAGTACACTTTTTGTTGTTTAGTAAAAACCCACCTAAACAATCAGCGCATAAGTTCCAATCGATTCAAGGCTCTTCAGGGGAAACAATTTTTATTTTTACATTGGAAAGTCATTCATTAATTCATGA